GGTTCTTCAGCCACAGCTATTTTGACTCCTGGTCTACAACTTTGCAATTCAAATGCAGTAGGTTGATCACATACTGCTCCATCACCGGACTTATGGGACTCCATCTCCGGACTTATGGGACTCCATCACCGGACTTATGGGACTCCATCACCGGACTTATGGGACTCCATCTCCGGACTTATGGGACTCCATCACCGGACTATGGACTCCATCACCGGACTTATGGGACTCCATCACCGGACTTATGGGACTCCATCTCCGGACTTATGGGACTCCATCTCCGGACTTATGGGACTCCATCACCGGACTTATGGGACTCCATCACCGGACTTATGGGACTCCATCTCCGGACTTATGGGACTCCATCTCCGAACTTATGGGACTCCATCTCCGGACTTATGGGACTCCATCACGGACTTATGGGACTCCATCACCGGATTTATGGGACTCCATCACCGGACTTATGGGACTCCATCACCGGACTTATGGGACTCCATCACCGGACTTATGGGACTCCATCACCGGACTTATGGGACTCCATCACCGGACTTATGGGACTCCATCACCGGACTTATGGGACTCCATCTCCGGACTTATGGGACTCCATCACCGGACTTATGGGACATCCATCACCGGAACTATGGGACTCCATCTCCGGACTTATGGGACTCCATCTCCGGACTTATGGGACTCCATCTCCGGACTTATGGGACTCCATCTCGGACTTATGGGACTCCATCTCGGACTTATGGGACTCCATCACCGGACTTATGGGACTCCATCACCGGACTTATGGGACTCCATCACGGACTTATGGGGACTCCATCACCGGACTTATGGGACTCCATCTCCGGACTTATGGGACTCCATCTCCGGACTTATGGGACTCCATCTCCGGACTTATGGGACTCCATCACCGGACTTATGGGACTCCATCACCGGACTTATGGGACTCCATCACCGGACTTATGGGACTCCATCACCGGACTTATGGGACTCCATCTCCGGACTTATGGGACTCCATCACCGGACTTATGGGACTCCATCACCGGACTTATGGGACTCCATCTCCGGACTTATGGGACTCCATCTCCGGACTTATGGGACTCCATCTCCGGACTTATGGGACTCCATCTCCGGACTTATGGGACTCCATCTCGGACTTATGAGACTCCATCACCGGACTTATGGGACTCCATCTCCGGACTTATGGGACTCCATCTCCGGACTTATGGGACTCCATCTCCGGACTTATGGGACTCCATCTCCGGACTTATGGGACTCCATCACCGGACTTATGGGACTCCATCTCCGGACTTATGGGACTTTACAAAGAGGTCTTGCCCTCATATACGTCCCAGGTCCACTAGACTCCTAACCTACGATGTTTCGAGTATTTGCGAAACCTGTGCATCTCTCAACACGTCAAGGCGACTTTGTTTACAAATATTAAACAGTTTACGGGCTTGGTAAACTCCACAACCCGAGGTTGTTAGTGTTGTAAACAACCTCGTATAGTGCTTCGGGGCTCGCCTAACCTGTTTAATTACATGTAAACAAAGCCGCTATGATTCTTGAAAGATGTACAGGTTTCGTAAGTGGATGTGTATATACTGGGTGAATCCTGGCTCAGATTAATATGTATATTTAATTTACGTGTCGATAATAGAGGTGTGTAGTTAGACCATCGTATTATTTTTCTTGGATATTAGTATGAAATAAGCCGTCATCTAACTTTCAGGCAGGTCTCCACTCTATTGCAAGACTTTGTAAATTATATTAAAGGGTTTACGTATAGCTCCATAAGCATTCCTTCGTTTTAGTGTGAGTATAGATGAGAGAGAGAGAGAGAGAGAGAGAGAGAGAGAGAGAGAGAGAGAGAGAGAGAGAGAGAGAGAGACAGAGTGACAGAGAGAAAGAAAGAGAGACAGAGAGAGAAAGAGAGAGAAATAAAGAGGAAAGAGAGAGACAGACAGAGAGACAGAGAGAAAGAAAGAGAGAGAAGAGAGAATGAGAGAGAAAGAGAGAGAGACAGAGAGAGAGAGAGAGAGAGAGAGAGAGAGAGAGAGAGAGAGAGAGAGAGAGAGAGAGAGACAGAGACAGAGACAGAGACAGACACAGAGACACAGAGACACAGAGAGAGAGAGAGAGAGAGAGAGAGAGAGGACAGAGAGAGAGCAGCAGCAGCAGCAGAAACAGTTTCTGATAATTCTGATGAGAATATAATTATCTTTGCACGACCTGTTCCCAGGAGACTTCTCCCTTGCTCTGTTGCACCTTGCAATGTGAGGGCTTCACTGCTCTGTTGCATCGCGCACTGTGAGGCTTCACTGTTGCTACCGGGATGCAATGTTGCAACAAAAAAAAGCCACTTTGTTGAAATGTTAGACATTCTTATGCACGAGAAAATATTGAGTGAATGCGATGGGATCGAACGCTCGTTCTTGGACAATGACACCATCTTGTGATTTATTTTTTCTGCACACATACATACACATGTTGTTACACAGTCTCTCTCTCTCTCTCTCTCTCTCTCTCTCTCTCTCTCTCTCTCTCTCTCTCTCTCTCTCTCTCTCTCTCCCTCACCCAAAATTATCATTATAATTCTCACATGCTCTTTAGAAACTAAGTTCTGTTATTTCAGACAAAGGCAGCACTTGCGCGTGTGCGCCTGTGCGCCTGTGCGCGTGTGCGCCTGTGCGCCTGTGCGCGTGTGCGCGAGTGCGCGTGTGCGCCTACCGACACACCCAGCCTCGATTTCACTTCGAATGTCTGACCTGATTTTGTACCAAGGTTGTGATGCCAGCTTCGAGCCTCCCTGCTGCTGGACATCTGTTGACGTCACTGCATTCCCACTGACGTCACTGCATTCCCACTGACGTCACTGCATTCCCACTGACGTCACTGCATTCCCACTGACGTCACTGCATTCCCACTGACGTCACTGCATTCCCACTGACTTCACTTGATTTCCACTGACTTCACTGCATTCCCACTGACTTCACTTGATTTCCACTGACTTCACTGCATTCCCACTGACGTCACTGCATTCCCACTGACTTCACTTGATTCCCACTGACGTCACTGGATTCCCATTGACTTCAATGGATTGCCATTGACTTCAATGGATTGCCACTGACTTCAATGGACTCCCACTGACTTCAATGGATTGCCACTGGATATCTTAGGTGTTATCGCCCTACTGCTGTACAGCTGTCCACGCAGCTGTTCTGTGGATGTTTACTCAGATATTCGTCATATAATCCACATATTAATCCGTGTAATCCACGTTTGAAGCCACATAATCCGCTTGGCCGGTGATCATATCTATTGACATCTTCAAGTAACTTGATGGGTGAAGACTTGACATCGCTTGACATCATGACAAATCCTGACGTTACTAGACTGCTGTCAAGATAGACTCCACATGTACTGATGCATTATGCCAGTCAATTGACATCACTTGACAGGGGATGATGTCTGAGGTGAAGATCTTGACAGATGTTTGACACTTGATATCATTTGCTTATTGATGTCAATGGTCAGTAGTCAGCTCTATAAGTTATCTAGATTGTAGATAACCCAACAGCTTTCCTGGATAGGTTGCAAACAGGTAGATATCCAAGCTGGTACAAGGTGAGATATCCTCCTGGGCTCCTAAATGAGTTGCTGAATACCTGTGTATGTATGAGAATTAGACGGTTAATTGATGATTAACTTACACATATGCGTTTATACATGGACTGTTGTACCTATTGATAATGTGTATGTATATGTGTGTATTCTCTCACCTGTAAGTATACGTGAAAAGCGATATGACACAGATTGACATAATTGATTGACAGTATGACATCAGGTTATATATACTAAGGGGAATTATACGTAAATTATAGATTAAACAGACTGTCAGGGGAGAGGAACAATGATAGACAAGGAGGATAGTGGAGAAGGAGCTGAAGAAGCAGGGATATAGAAGTACAGGAACCAGGCTAGAGAGGATAGGACATGGGGGGGATAGAGAGGCGTAGGGGGGCTAGGGGATACCAGATCCCTATTCTCTGGTAAAACCCCGACCCGACCTAGGTAGTTATGGTTGAGAAAATTACTTTTGTTGCTCTGTGTAAGGTGTTTCTCACGTTTATGCTATGTATACATGTATACATGTATGCATAGTATACATGTATACATAGTATACATAGTATACATAGTATACATAGTATACATGTACACATGTATACATGTATACTATGTATACATGTATACTCTCTCTCTCTCTCTCTCTCTCTCTCTCTCTCTCTCTCTCTCTCTCTCTCTCTCTCTCTCTCTCTCTCTCTCTCTCTCTCTCTCTCTCTCTCTCCCCATTTGGCTGGGTTGGCACATCGACGGCCTCGTATTTTACAAGACCTGCGTTCCATCCCCGATGGTCCAAGATGGTGTAGCCCTAATTTTCACCCCATCCTCATATCCCAGCTCCTTGTCCTCATATCCCAGCTCCTTGTCCTCATACCCCAGCTCCTTGTCCTCATATGCCAGCTCCTTGTCCTCATACCCCAGCTCCTTGTCCTCATATGCCAGCTCCTTGTCCTCATATCCCAGCTCCTTGTCCTCATATCCCAGCTCCTTGTCCTCATATCCCAGCTCCTTGTCCTCATACCCCAGCTCCTTGTCCTCATATGCCAGCTCCTTGTCCTCATATCCCAGCTCCTTGTCCTCATATCCCAGCTCCTTGTCCTCATACCCCAGCTCCTTGTCCTCATATCCCAGCTCCTTGTCCTCATATCCCAGCTCCTTGTCCTCATACCCCAGCTCCTTGTCCTCATATCCCAGCTCCTTGTCCTCATACCCCAGCTCCTTGTCCTCATACCCCAGCTCCTTGTCCTCATATCCCAGCTCCTTGTCCTCATATCCCAGCTCCTTGTCCTCATACCCCAGCTCCTTGTCCTCATATCCCAGCTCCTTGTTCTCATACCCCAGCTCCTTGTCTTCATACCCCAGCTCCTTGTCCTCATATCCCTGCTCTTTGTCCTCATATCCCAGCTCCTTTTCCTCATATCCCAGCTCCTTGTCCTCATATCCCAGCTCCTTGTCCTCATACCCCAGCTCCTTGTCCTCATACCCCAGCTCCTTGTCCTCATATCCCAGCTCCTTGTCCTCATACCCCAGCTCCTTGTCCTCATACCCCAGCTCCTTGTCCTCAAATCCCAGCTCCTTGTCCTCATATCCCAGCTCCTTGTCCTCATATCCCAGCTCCTTGTCCTCATACCCCAGCTCCTTGTCCTCATATCCCAGCTCCTTGTTCTCATACCCCAGCTCCTTGTCCTCATGCCCCAGCTCCTTGTCCTCATATCCCAGCTCTTTGTCCTCATATCCCAGCTCCTTGTCCTCATATCCCAGCTCCTTGTCCTCATATCCCAGCTCCTTATCCTCATACCCCAGCTCCTTGTCCTCATACCCCAGCTCCTTGTCCTCATATCCCAGCTCCTTGTCCTCATATCCCAGCTCCTTGTCCTCATATCCCAGCTCCTTGTCCTCATTCCCCAGCTCCTTGTCCTCATATCCCAGCTCTTTGTTCTCATACCCCAGCTCCTTGTCCTCATACCCCAGCTCCTTGTCCTCATATCCCAGCTCCTTGTTCTCATACCCCAGCTTTTTGTCCTCATACCCCAGCTCCTTGTCCTCGTATCCCAGCTCTTTGTCCTCATATCCCAGCTCCTTGTCCTCATATCCCAGCTCCTTGTCCTCATATCCCAGCTCCTTGTCCTCATAACCCAGCTCCTTGTCCTCATACCCCAGCTCCTTGTCCTCATATCCCAGCTCTTTGTCCTCATATCCAAGCTTCTTGTTCTCATATCCCAGCTCCTTGTCCTCATATCCCAGCTCCTTGTCCTCATATCCCAGCTCCTTGTCTTCATATCCCAGCTCCTTGTCCTCATACCCCAGCTCCTTGTCCTCATATCCCAGCTCCTTGTTCTCATATCCCAGCTCCTTGTCCTCATATCCCAGCTCCTTGTCCTCATATCCCAGCTCCTTGTCCTCATACCCCAGCTCCTTGTCCTCATATCCCAGCTCCTTGTTCTCATACCCCAGCTCCTTGTCTTCATACCCCAGCTCCTTGTCCTCATATCCCTGCTCTTTGTCCTCATATCCCAGCTCCTTTTCCTCATATCCC